CCCAGCAGCCTCTCTTGCTATGCTGGCCTGAAGGGGTGTACATGGGATGAACAAAGCAAAGGAGGCAAGTGTACACATCGCAGGGGAAGGTCTGTCAGTTACTCTGCAGGAACTACTCTGGGCCAGGCAGAAGCTGGCACAGACTCAGATGCTGAGGAACTGCCCTGTCTCCAAGGAGCTGAAGCTGCTGAGTGACGTAAGCTGGCTCATGGCAAGTGAGTGCACCAGACTGGTTGAGCAAAAGGTGCTAGGCTTTGTCAGGGAGTCCGCCGGAAGTGCATCTGAGTCACCTTGGACTCAGGGCCATATAATCAACTGCCATGTCCTGTTGGCCCCTCTCTTTCTACCCTGCTGCTCCAGCTTCTGCCCTTACCAGCCTGATCTTCTAAAAGCACGGCTTCAACTGTATCTCCCTTCTGCTCCTACACCTTTGTTGTGACCTACAGAATAAATCCTGGCCCTTGAAACCCTCAGCTCCCTCCCCCACACACACCACCTAGCTTTTCCACTCTTAGGAAACCTGGTCCTGTCCAATGGCTCATATTTCCAGATCTTTCATCCATACCTTACTCTTCTATGCTTAGCTTGCTCGAAGGCTCTTCTCTTCCTCTGAAGTCTGATAGCATGTATCTGAATCACTTACTTATCTGAAACCAATATTTTGTTGATAAGGTACTAAAGGTAGACTTCAGTCAGGTAGTGTTTATGTTTACTCAAGGGCTCAATGGGAACACTGCTATCTTTACACCCCTGCAGCTCCCTGGGTTTCCAGTCTTCATCTGTGTACATTGGGTTAGTGCAGGTAGTGAACACCTCTTGCTTTTGCTCGTCTAGCATTTCTTCCTAGTCTTTTAGAGGACCACTTCTTTTTTCCTTTTTCTCCACTTCTTTTTTTTTTTTTAATTTTAATTTAAAATTTTTAAGGTTTTCGTTATAGGGCATGTGTGCTCACTGGAAAGATATAGAGAGACAAGAAAGAGGAAAAGTGAGGAATCACCCTCCAGGGTGATCATGTCACAATCCTTTCTTCTCTATTCTCTATTCTCTTCTCAGAATTTGGGACATGCATGCACCTGTGCCTGGCATGATTTTTCAGTCACCAGGTCTGGGACTCAAACTGCATTCAGCCGTGTGGGAGTCCAGCACCTTAACCACTATGCCCCCTGTTGGTCCCATGCCCCATTCTCTCCCCATGGGCCCAGTCTAGTCTGGTGAAAATGATGATATCCTATTCTCCTGGCTGCAGGCATTGGTTTGGAGGTGAGCATGTGACCTAAGTCAGCCCAGGGAGAGTCAGCCTTGGATGTTAGCTGGAAAGAGCTCCCGTGGTGGTCATCCTGAAACCTGGAGAAAGCCTGCCTGAAGATGAAGCTAACACGGAAGGAAACAGAGCCAGAGCCAAGAGAAGTAGAGAATGACAGGGTCCTGAAGACGTCACCACACCCTTCATCCGGTCAGGCCAAAAGCCAGAGGCATCCCTGAACTTCCCATTTGTGAGAGCAAATAAATGATCATTTATGCTGAAGTCTGGTTGAGCTGGGCATCAAGAGTCCTGAGCAATGCCATGTAGGCGGTGCCTGGGTATGTGTACTGGGCATGGCTGTGTGTGATGTGCACAGGACGCTGCTGTGATGGGTGGGGGAGGCAACAGGTGCTATGTACTTGTGCTCACGTGTGTCATGGAGCTGTGGGGATGGTTGTGCAGCATGTGTGCAGGTGACATGTAGAGAGGATGTGAGGGCGTGTGTGTACCCAAGTGTGAGTGTGAGGGGGATGAAAGCGGAAGTAGGGTGTAGGCTGCAGTTGTGTGAGCACAAGGTGGGGGGCTAGGTTGGTTTATCTGGGGAGAGAACCTGTCTCACATGTGTCCTTTGGATTTATATAGACATATAAAAACACCTGCTCAAGGGACCGGCAGGTGGTATGGTGGTTAAAGGTGCTGGACTCCCACATGGCTGACCATGGGTCAGGTCCTGGACTTGGTGGCTTGCTTCCTCACTTTCCCTTTCTCTTTCTCTGTCTCTCTCTGATCAAACTGGAAAATAATAGTAATAACAATAATAATAAATAAAAATAAATAAATTTAAATAGAATAATTCTTTAAAAACAAAAACAAAAAAACACCTGCTCGAAAGGCACTTGCCTATCAGCCTCTGCCTCTACTCCCCTAAAAGTCCTCCTTCTTTTCATGCTGAAGCCAATGCCTTAGAATCATGAATTCCAGGATGTACAGAATCACAAAGCTTTCACTGACGGTGGCGGTGAAGTGGGAAATATCGGATGCTGTGTAGAGCCACGCCTTGCTATCAGAGGAGACTCTCAGGCTTGGCTTGCTGGGGCTCAGCCAGATATCAGCCAGATTGGCGTCCTTACCTCCTTTCACTCACACAGGTGGGGACAGGGATGGGTAGGGCTGGCCTTGGGGCGGCTCACTTTTGAGGAGACCTCCTCAGTTCCCCTCTCTGTGGGCTGTGGCTGCTTTTATGGCAGGTCCTTAGCCTCGGACTGCGCCCCCTCTGACACCTGGATATTTATGACTTTAGGTCTGGGTGGCCTTGATCTCTGAACCTTTTCTCTAAGGCAGGTGGCTTTTAGCTGTTTTCTTTTTCTTTTTTTTTTTTATTTTATTTTTATTATTTTTTTAACTCTTGCTCCTTCCTATTCCTGCCTCAGTGCCCCACTTCACCAAAACACATTGGTCTTCCCAAGCTGGACCTTCCCTGACATGAAGCCTGGTCACCTCAGCGGTGCAGAGAGAGCCATAACTGTGTGGCATACTGGGCCTGCCAGCCCCTTAAGTGTCCCCAGCCCCTGCCTGGCTTGACCACAGTAGGGAAGTGACCGGGTGCCCCTTTCTCTTATCCCAACCTGCATACACAAGTTAGTATTTCCTGTAGGTCGAGACAGTGGAGGGGATAGGAACGACCTCAGCTGGGGTCGTGCCTCCCTGTGAGGTGGGATGAGAGGAGGGAGTGGGAGTGTGGGCTTTCTTGAGGATCAACCCTGCCTGCGTCTTTTCATGACCCCACAAGCGCTGTGCAGCTTTCTCTTCTGTACCAGGCATGGGAAGGTTCTGTTCTGGAGGGTCAGGAAAACAAAGGGGCAGCGTCAGCCGACCCAACGGGCCCTCTAGCTGGGTAGGGCTGACTCGCCTCCCCCGGACCTCAGGGTCCCCGCTGCAGTGGCTACACGGGGGCCCCAGCCATTACTGCAGGCCGAGAAGCGGGCTGCTGAGATGGTGTCAGAGGCTCCCACGCAAAAGAACCGGAGGCTGAAGCAGGCCAAAGAAGCTGCTCAGACTGAAATTGAACAGTACGGCCTGCAGGTGGAGAAAGAATTCAAGGCCAAGGAAGCCCAGCTCTGAGATCCCACAGAAGCTGCAGCACTGACGTGGAGGAGACCCAAGAGAAGATGACCATCCTCCAGAACTACTTCCTACAGAACAGGGAGGAAGTCTTGGATAACCTCTTGGCTTTTGTCTGTGACGTCCGGCCAGAAATCCCTGAAAACTACTGCATAAATGGATAGGAGAAGAACAAAGTGCCTGTCCCATGGATTGGTGTCTTAGATGCCCTCGTGGAATATGAAGCATTCTGGAGTTCTAGTTATATTCTTGGGAAAGGCATTAAATTCTGTATGTTATATAGCAGGTCCTCTCACTTTTTGCAGAGTAGCAAATCTAGCTTCTTTGTACAGACTTAGAAGTTATCCAAAGAATTCATCTTTTTACCTCATATTTCTTAGAAATTTTGGGACCAGCAGTTGGTGTAGTGGCTATGTCGCTGGACTCCCATGTAGTAGACCACGGTTCAAGTCCCTCACCTGGTGGCTTAAACTCGCACTGGGTGTGTGTGCATGCATGCCCCAGATCTCGAGAGGAGAATGAAGGAGAAGGGATTGTGGCGTGGCCACACACACACACACACCCTCCCCCCGTGGGGTGATTTCTCACTTTCTGCCTCTCTGTGACTCTCTGACTTTGGTGAGCGCATGTGCCCTATAGCAAACACCTCTCCATAAAAAAATAAAAGAAGTTTAATGGGTATATGTTGTTTTCCTATGCCTTTAGCTCAAGCAACATGTATCTCACTGTTAACTTTTTCTTTTTTAGATCTACTAAAAAAGGAAATTATTTGAAGAAAGAAAGGGGTTATTATTTTTTCCCTAATGCTTTCTTGAAAGTCAGGGGCTTTATCTATGAAAAAGTAGTGAGTAGTTACTTGTAACCTGTGCGAAGCAGCAGCCGGCCTTAACGTGGTCCTTTCCTGCTAAAGGCTAGAACAGTGACTACTAGTGTAATCGTTTGGGCTGCTTTCAGTTTCTTTTAATCAAAATATTAGATGATAGAATTCACAGACTTGTTATGTGTTATTACTTGGTGTACTGCTAATCATTTAAAAGTGAAAGACTTTTGTCACACACACACACACACACAAACACACACACACACACACACACACACACACACACACACACAAAGGGCCCAGGCCTTTCTTTTCACCCAGGATCGAGGTAGGCTCTGGGCTAGGATGAGTCAGGGCTGGCATGTCAGGGCTAGTCTGACATGGAATAGTATCAAGGCATTCAAAGATTCTGATCTAACCTCATGAGTATGGCTTTTTAAGTGGACAACCGGAGGATGTTTTTCAGATCACAAATGGAGCCCTAGATTTCTCTGAGTGGGCTGGAGAACGGAAACTCAGAAGTTTTCATCGCAGATAAGACTGATTTCAAGCACCCTCCTGCTTCCCAGGGGACTCTGGAGCTCAATGCCATGACTTTGCTCCTCCTTCCATCAAAATGTACTTGTCCTCATCCCTTCTCCCAGACCCTGTCCCCTGCTGGGTGCCAGTTTGCTCATCTGAGGACGGTCTCTCAGCTGCT